GTCTAACTATGCTGCCTAGGCTGGAGTGCAGTGGCTTGGTCTTGGTTTACTGCAACCTTTGCCTCCCAAGGGTTCAAGCGATTCTCTTGCCTCAGCCTCCCAAGTAGCTGGAACTACAGGCGCGTGCCACCAAGCCCTGCTAATTTTTGTATTTTTAATAATAGAGATGGGATTTCACTATGTTGGCCAGGCTGGTCTCAAACTCCTGGCCTCAACTGCTCTGCCTGTCTCAGCCTCCCAAAGTTTTGGGATTACAGGCGTGAGCCACTGCACTGGCTGCTAATGTATTTTTTGTAGAGATGGCAGTCTTACTATGTTGCCCAGGTTGGTCTTGAACTCCTAGCCTCAAGTGATCCTCCTGCCTCAGCCTTCCAAAGTACTGGGATTACAGGTATGAGCCACCATGCCCAGCCCAAGAAGTTTACTTAAGAGTTTCTTTATACTGGCTTTGGACTAAAAAAATACTGAAAACAGATTTTCATGGAGAAAAAAAAAACCTAGCTCTTTAATAAGACTGTTTTATATACTTTTTTACATTGGTCAAGTACATTATTTTTACTAAACAGCATTGTTTCCCACTACATCCATGGTTATGTATAAAAAAATGCCATTGTCAATTAAGATTTTAAAAACTTAACTTCCATAAGAGGATTAAATTCTAATCTATGATTCATTTAACCTACTTTACAAACACTAGGTAAAGTAATCTAACAAGCTGCCAAAGAACACATCCCAAGTAGTAATCACAGATGATGAAGCACCTTACAGGACACCTCCACCTTGAAACACGTGAGTGTCCAGAGAAGTATTAAAGCCTTAATAATAGACTACTGAAGGTTAACTATTTACATTATTCTAAAAATATTTTAAGCTGTATTACAGTGCTATAAATTCTTCTTTTAAGGAAAAAAGTAATAGATTGTTTCCTTACCGTATTCTGAAAGGAAAAAAATATATCCATAGTAACTAGTGATCTGCTGATTTTTTCTCTGAATTTTTAAACTCCAACAAAGCATTACTTTGCAAAAAGTCCTTTAGCCCAAAGTCAGTGTCTCTGTTTTGATCTCTTTGTAAAAGAACTCTCTGTTCATCCATTCTTTTTGCCTGAGATCGTAAAATAAGGCTGAAAAAGTCGTCATCTGGTACTGTCGGACCCTTTGTGGTAGCAGGTGGTGGAGTACATCTTTGATCATCTAACCTGGATCCCTAAAAGTTTATGAGAAAGAAATTTAAAGACATACTGTGGGAAATAAAAGCATGAAGCTATGTAATATCTCTGTCAGTCATAACAAGAAAATGCAGTTTTGTAAGCTATTTTTTGGGCTTCTCAGAAATTAATCTTTAGACCTCAAACTACATAAAATTCTTTTTAAAAAATGAATTAAGTATAGCTGCTTACGTAAGTATAGCTGCTTCATGGGTTTAGTATGTGCATTATATTAAGTCATACTATTTTAATTATAATTGGTCACAAGGAATAATCTGAGACAAGGTCAACGGTGTACAACACCTTAAGGTTATAATTAACAAGCATCAACAGTGCAACAACAAATCTTTAGAAGTATGTACAAAACCCATGAGGAACCACATTAAAAAAATCACATAGGCTAGTAGACAGCAAACTATAACCCAATGCCTGCTTCTGTAAATGAGGTGTCATTTTCATTTCTCCATCAATAAATAAATTTGTTTATATATTGTCTGTATGGCTGCTTCCCTACTAAATGGCAGAGCTGGGCAGTTGCAACAGAGACCATATGGCCTGCAAAGCGTAAAATATTTTCTATCTCGCCCTTTACAGAAAAAGTTTGCCTGCCTCTGTCTTAGGCAGTTAAATTTGTTAAGAAATAGCCCAGACTGAATTTTTTTTTAGACGAAGTCTCGCTCTGTCACCAGGCTGGAGTACAGTGGTGCAATCTCAGCTCACTGCAACCTCTGCCTCCTGGGTTCCAGTGATTCTCCTGCCTCAGCCTCCCAAATAGCTGGGACTACAGGTGCCTGCCACCACACCCAGCTAATTTTTGTATTTTTAGTAGAGACGGGATTTCACTATGTTGGCCAGGATGGTCTCGATCTCCTGACCTTGTGACCCACCCGCCTCGGCCTCCTGTGTTGGGATTATAGGTGTCAGCCACCATGCCCGGCCTATTAGACATGCTACTCATCAAATAAAAAGTACAAGCACTAACAAGTACACACCATAGTTTCTGGCATTGTAGCTCAATAATAAGAATAAAAGTGTGATAGCTGATATTTGAGTACCCACTACATTGTTGGGAACAGTGACAAGCACATAGATCCCTCAACATTTACTCCCGCAACCCTTAGAGGTACAGTTAACTGCCCTCCTAAGTCAGTGCTGCCTTCACACATACCTGGCTCACTCATTTCTCCTGTCCTAAGTTGATAATTTCAGTGTCCTCCAATTAACCCAACACTTGAACACTTCAGTTCCTAGACTTCTGATTTAGTGTTCTCATCCTTCACTTCAGCCTTAACCATCTGGCTCCCATGGTTGCAGTCTAGCCTCTTGTTATCTCCATAGAAATGACTTTTCCAGTTCTTTGCCCATTCTTTTCTTTGCCCATTTTGAATCAAGTTTTTTTCTGTTGAGTTTTAGGAGTTCTGTATATATTCTGGATATTAATCCCTTATTGGATATGTGATTTCCAAATACTTTATCTTGGGTTGCCTTTTTTTTTTTTTTTTTTTTTTTTTTTTTTTTT